CGGCATGCTGGCCAGTAGAGACTGCACGGTGTATGTGTCTAGTCTAGGTTTACATTCAAAAATCTCTACTGGGTTCTCCCAGAAGTCGTTGTTAACAAAATCCCACTGCCAGTATAGGAGACTTCCCCTAAAGTTGTTGGTGAAGGGTATCCCAGGACACCCCAGAACATCACAGGCTTTTATCATTGCGCTTGGTTGTCCTCTGGAACTGAGGTAATAAGCCCCAGTTAACAAAGACACCACACATGGGGCAGGGGCAACGGGACGTGGTGCTGACTCAGCACTTCAGCAGCAGCAGCAGCAGCATCTTGACCGTCTCAAAGCACATCACACATGCTCACTCATTTACAGCGCTCACAGCCAACTCTAAACATCGTTAATGCGATCCTCGGATTCCAGCGGAGAATTAGGAGCGGGTTCAAGGTCAAAAACGGAAAGAATAGAGCTGAGACTCAGAGAGGAGCAAAGCGTTTGTGACCGGGTGTGTTCTGACAGTACCAAAGCCCTCTATGGGATATCGGCAACCTGCCAGGACAGTGCTCTCTGCAGCCTCCCCCAGAAGCATCCTCAGACAAAAAGCCCGGTATTGTCGGTCCCTCCGTGTTAGCCTAATTAAGTGGCCCCTCTTGCTCTACGAGTTCTAAATAAACACATCTGCAGAAATATCACACGAACTTCCACGTTCCCACAGGGCTTGGCGATTGCAGTTGCGCTATCTTGAACGAAATTGGGAGTTCCTGCATCCCGTGTCATTTTTCCCATGGGAACATGAGCCACCTTCAGCTAGAGGACTTCCCAGGGAGAAAGCAATGACAGGGCAGGAGTGGGGGGAGGGGCAAGCATTTGTATCACTTCTTCTTTTTGGAGACTTGGGAACTAAGACCAAAATCACAGGTGGTTTTCTCGACTGTTTTCTTCACTAATACAGTCTGCCTGCGGTAAAGAGCCACCTCGAATAACAAGGCCAAGTCTGCACTTGCCTGAGAAGTCATTCCTAGCTGCTATCTGGTCCCTGTCATTAGTCCTGTGTCAACCACCCAGCTTCGGATTCCATCACAGCCACTAGTACTGGCTCCCATTACTAAGGCTTTTGTTCAAAATCAAGCCCTTAGATTACCTGTATTTGATTCTTTTATGTGCAAATATCTCCTAAAAGGGGTCTAAGTTCTTAATAGATATGTAAATCTTTTAACCAAATAATCAAAACAGTTCATGTTTGTTAGGCATAGCCTTACCCAATAAAAGCTGGAATATGTGTGTGTGTGTGTGTATAATGTGTATGAATACACACATTTTAGCACTTCATTTTATTGATGTAAAACACAGCAAAAGAAAGATAAGCAAATCTTCTATTCTAACTACATGGAAAAAGGAAAATCAACTTGTGACTGCTGGGGTGGGGAGTAGAGGGTGATAAAGATAGTTCCAGAAGACTAATGCCATAATGACTTTCTGTGCCTGTTTTATATGCTTGCCTTAGCTGTCGTGAATCCCTTCTTCAGATAAATTATACCCAGGCTCTGATATCTTAACTACTGGTAAGAGAATGTCCTGTGCTAATTGTAAGGCTGGACGAGTGTTAGCTTTAGGCTCATTAAACTGCCACTGGTCCTCCTGCAAACAGTGTTTCAGCTCTGGGAACTTGCCAGCATGCACCCTGGCAGCACAGATTCTAGAGACATGGACCCAAGATTGTGATAAGGAAGGAAAGCTGTACATACATGAACCCGTTTTGTATATAATGTGATCATTCCAATCCAACTGTCTGAAACAGACTCCAAAGGCCAAGGATGACCAGGTCACTGTGGGTCTCGGTGTTCTCCGGAACTGTCTGAAAAGTCCAGCCATTTGAGTTTTGTCTTCCTTTTCCCGCCCCTGAATCTAAAGCTCACCAACTGGCAGAATTTTCTGAGATAACGGAAGGGTCCAGGGCTTAGAAGTCAGATAAACCTTGGTTCAAATCCTGGTGCATGTGTGTGTTAGCTGTGAGAGCGCGGGCAGGGCACGTTCAACCCCTCTGGTTATTTTGTTCCCACTTAGCAAAACTGAGATAATAGAAATGTTCCAGGTGGCTCTGTGCATCAGAGACAATGTAAACAAAGTTTCCAGAGCCATGCCAAATCTAAAGTAAGTCTTCAAACTATTGTTATTCAATATCTGACATCAAGTGCAGAAAACTAAAGAAGCGCTACTTAGGTGACCTTCTAAAACACAAGGGTGTCGAGAACAAAAACTACTCTGAACCCATAAATTCTCTAAATTTTGCAGTGACGAGTCTGATTTATCTCACGCCTCAGTTTGGTTTACATATATTCGGATCTATGCCAACAATGACCTTTTAAAAAAATCCCTTCAGCAAGTTCTGAATCCTTTCATGTGCTAAAAATGATTCACTAGCCATCTGGGAGACTGTGGTATTTTCCCAGCTCTGAGGCCTTTTCCCTAACAGGTGCCACAGTGCTAATAGTTGAGAGAACCCCCTGAGAAGTGTGCCTTCCCCGTGGGCTGGTGGGGACTCTCCTTCTAGGAAGATGTGCTGAAAGCGGCTTGCTCAACTACAGAGGCCTCCACGCTTCTAGGGATCTAGCAAAAAGGGTTTGCAGCATGCCTGGGGTTTGAAGACAATGGATTTTATGTGGTGTTCCTCAGACTTGAAGGCACATCTCATTAAGACATAGATCCAGTTGAAGGGCTCCCAGGACGCTCTGGTAGTCTACCAATGCCCGGCCATGTCATGAGAGTTGGTGAGCAGCACTTGAAACAGGAACTCCAGGGCCTCACCAGAGTCTCCCAGAATTCTGTCATTCTTTAATCTCAAGAACCAATGAGACCATCATCAACTGACTTTATCAAACTGTCTGGCTGTAGTGGTGCAGACCCCAGGGAGGCTGGAAGAGGAGAAAAGTGTGAGTTTGAAGTCAGAGGCCAGCCTGGGTTACAGAGAGAGAGAGACCCTGTCTCCAACAGCAAAACAAAATAAAAACAGTATGAGGCTAACAGAACATGCATAGAACTCTTGACTTCCATAAAGAAATGAATACATTTGTAAACCGTACCAGCTAGGCATAGTATAGGGGGTTATATCTCAATCCCAGCACGTTGGATGGGCAATAAGATCTTGAGTTAGAGACTAAACTGGACTATAAATGAGGCCCTGTCTCAAAAAAACTAAAACAACAATGATTTTAGTGTACTGATGTCACTTTCTCAAGCTAAAACAGCCCTTCCCATCACACAGATTTAAATTCTTTACCCTTTTCCTTGATAGAGCTGTAGGCCCAACAGGCTGTCTCACTGGGTAACTGGTTAGTGAGATCACACATGCCAAGATAGACTGCAAATGCCTCTGAATGAGATAGGGTAAGCGAAATACCACACTGCTTCAAGAAATCTGGAAAAGTTGGCAAAAAAGAGCGTAGCAAATAGAATAATCAGGCACTGATGGTTTCTGACAGCCTGACTTGAGCTCTGAAACTGTCACTGATTTATGTGAAGTCTGACCTTTAGGGACCGAGCAAACGAGCAAACCATGTCAGGAACCCGGTCCATGTTAAATTAGAAGCTTCATACGGCCGTGATAGGAAAACAACATGTTGTAGGAAATACTGTGGTCACGTGGATGAAACACGGGACTGGAACGAGGCAAGCGATCCTGCAGCCGGGACTACGGAGCCTTTTCACCAGCTGGATGACCTTGCTCACCCAGTCCGCCCCTTGAGGTCTCTGCCTGTCCATTAAACATGCTCCTCCCCTCTAGGCTACCGTTCAGCTCTCCTAACCACTTCATCCAGGAGCAGGCAGCTCCTTCTGGAGCTCACCTAGGTGAGGCAGCTGACATCAGTCTATCCTTGTTGCCAATAGCTGATCCGAACGCACAATACAGCTGGGGGCCACTTCTATGTAACCCAGCTGACCTGCCCCTGGAAGGGAACACTTCTCTGCCTGAGCCTTGGCTGTATGGGAGAAAGTTTCCCGCGTAGGAAGCTCTGGGATTAGCTGGTTGGCCACAGGATAGCGAAGGCAAACTCTTCCTCGGGTTCATTTCTGGGATTTGCTTTATTTTGTGCTACCCAAGTTGTTTCTCAGGCTGATATAAGTGTGTAAACCCAGTGCCTTACATGGCGTCTTTAAAAGATCGAACAATAAACGTTTAGGGATATGTACCACCTCTGCCCTGTGGGAGACAGGAACGGAAGGCAAGAATTCCATAATTCAAAACCCAAGTCACTTGTTAGTTCCAAAAGGCTTCAAGCAGGGAACCTGGGTCCTCTCCTTTGGGGACAGGAGCAACCTGTTCTCCTTCCCTGGTTGCACAGGGAATCACCTGAGAAGCACTTTCAAACGATATTCCCTGGCCCTATGCGTGCTTCATTTTAACAAGAGCCCAAGTGGCTGCCAAACCCCACCACCACCACCCCCACCCCGAATAGGGCCGTAGAGCATGTTTCCTTAAAGATCGTTGCTTTTCTTGAGCCTCAACAATCTTGACGTTTGTTTTCACACAAGGCAACCATCCCATCTACCCACAATCCTCCCCGCCACGACTTTGCCCACAGAGGCCGTGACAGTGGTACACTCTGTCCCAACACAAGGTCAAAAGCAAGCCAAATGCCAAATGTTTCCTTGTTGCCGGCTGTATTTTCAAAACAAAACACAAATGAGAAGGAAGCCATTCCTCTCCGTTCAGTTTACACTCACAACCCAATCCATTCTCATCAACTCGCAAAACTTTTCTGCTCCAACCTCTATCTACCACGCGCGTTTTTCGCGGAATCGTACATGTTCTCAGATCTTCCGGCACACACTGGTTGCAAACTCAGTTGCTCGGCTTTGCTCGGAGCCCATGAACACCGCCAACACAGCCGTTGGCACCGAGAAGCTCAGCACCCTACACCACCCCCTCCCGGGCACAGACACAGCCCCGGCTCCACCAGCGCGACTCCAAAGCCCTGCTTGACAGCGGCGCCTATCCCTCGGACTCCGCAGGGCCCCAGCTTTACCTGAAGCACGTGGTAAGCTCGCCCGAAGACTTCAGACAGGGGTATTTGGTCGTTGCGATCTTGTTTTCCGAGCACACTTCTCTGTGGGGGAAAAAAGTTGGAAAGGAAACTCCGTTGAAGGTCAGAGGGAAAGTGGAGAGCCGTACGCGCTGGGCTCTGCGACCAGACGCACCGGCTGCTACTGGTCCCCGGGCGGACTCAGCAGCCGGAACGAGCCACGAGAGATTCCCAGAACGGGGCTACCCCAGTTCACGGTGACTAGAAAAGCCAAAGAAGTCAGCACCGCAGCGCGGCGGGAAAGTCGTGGGGACGGTATCCAGTGTCCCGATCCACAGCTGGGAGAATCGAGGCGGTTCCCGCAAGAGATGGAAGACACCTGGGTCATCTAAACACCCTGCTGGGCCCAGAGAGCTGGGACCAGTGGGTCGGTCACCTGGGACATTCTGCCCCCCACCAGCCAGCCCTGAGTGCACCCAGCGCGACCTCCGCTGGGGCAGGTGGCCCTTACCTGTCACGGTCTTCTGGCTCCTCTCGGTAGGTCCACGTGTGTCCCAGCGCCAGGAGTAGCAGCAGCGGCCCCAGGCTCTTGCCCAGCTGCCCCTTGGCTGCTCCTCCCCGGCACGGAGGAGGCGGCGGCACCATCGGGGAAGCTCGCGGCTTCTTCTCGGCACCGGAGCTCTCTCCCTGCGCTGTGCCCAGAAGCTCCGCGGCCGCGGCCGCCTTCCCTCTCGCCAGCAGGGGGCGCCGGAGAGCTGGGGCGTTTGCACCACCTGCGGGGCCGCAGTCAAACTTGGGCAGAGAAAAGGGGAGACTCAAGCTTGTCAAAGGGGTGCCTGCCTTGCGCGGCCAGCGGGAGGATGCTGGAGCCCTGGGAGTCTTCTGGACGTTCAGGCTCGAGTCACAAACCAACTGAACTTGGCTTCAGGCTGCGCTCTCCTCTCTCGCGTCTTCCTCCCTCGGGGAGAAGCGCAGAGACGAGGCAGCTAGGCGCTCCTTTGCATTTTTTGCTCCAAGGTCTCAGCCTGGGAGGAGGAGTTGTTGGCTGTCACCAGGGCGAGAGGAGGAGAGGAGCGGGGTTAATAGCTTCCTTCCTGTTGTCAGTTAACTTCCATAGCGAAGGGTCAAGCCAATGTTTGCCTTTCGCCCATGAGGGCCTTCTTGCATGCTTTTCTTCTATCCCGGTTTTCTCTTAGACTATGAGAGAGTGGGCAGCGGCTACAGGGTGTCTCCTATATCGCCCTTTCAAACGTGAAATAGTCCAATCAAAAAAGTGTGGCCAATTTTCATCCAACCTCTTTTAGAGGAAATTCGGTCATTTCGTTCGTCCATAGCCCTTACTGTGATTTTCCTGGTAAGTGCAGTTCAGGACAAGTGAAGCTGAGGCTTCCAAGAGCTTTGAACTCAGCAGCTTGTCTCTAACTATAGGGATCTTGACTACATTTGTTTTCTCTGTTAATCAAGGAATGAAAGGGCAGGAAGAATCTCTGGCGCAGACAGCAAGCGTTGTTAAAACTGAAGACATACTCACGCACCCACAGAGGGGCGACTCCCCACAAGTGCAGATTCTCAGACTGGCTCCAAGCGGTGGAGTTAGGGAGGGGCTGGTGGGGGAGTGGTCTTGGTCTTCCTCCCATGATTTCCAACTGGTCATTTTAAAAGGAGGAGTGGTTGACCGGCTTACGGCTTCGTGCAAACTGAGAGATACCCAGGTCAGTCAGAACGGGGGTGTACCTGGTTGGGGGCAGGGGCTTCCTGATGATGAAGAAGGTGATGAAGAAGCAGGGAGTTTGCCATCTGCTTGTTTACCTATGGCCTCTTTCCCTGTCTGCCTGCCAAGATGTTAGTCTGCTTTCCTAACCTTACAGAACTCAGCGTCAGCGCTGAAAATACCTTGAGGGAAATCATTGAAGACAGCTGGATCCGTGTGTCTCTCCGCGATCAGGGAAGACACCTGACACTGCCTGGAAGCCTGCTAATCACGGGGCCACCACCTGCGAGTTCATGCTGCCCTGTTTACCACGACACCATCAGTTCTTATCACAGACGAAGTCATAACCAAACCGTGAACCACAAAACCAAGAAAGCCGTGGCCCAAAAATAAGTCAGAAAAGCGAGGAGTTAAATGTGGAATCACTAATATAACTCAGTTCTGTGGGTCAGGCCTGAGAAGGTAGCTCATTCACAAGCTACAGGTGTGTGCCCTTTGGCTAGGTGAATAGGTATTTTGAGTTACATTAGTAGTCTGGGCTACTGAGAAATGTTACACATAGCACCTCGACTGCCATTTTTACAGGAGGAACATTCTTACTCCTCTGTTGGATACTTTGTATTCCTCAGGAGTCTTCTATGGTCATGTTTTTATTTGATCTTCACAATCCCAACCCTACACATCTTGCTCCATGCTTTAGCCAGATGTCCTTCCCCTCCCCCCCCCATAAGCCATTCATAGACATGAAGAACATGAGCCGGGCGGTGGTGGCGCACGCCTTTAACCCCGGCACGCGGGAGGCAGAGGCGGGCGGATCTCTGTGTGCACAGAGTGAGTTTCAGGACAGGCTCCAAAGCCAAAAAATGCGGGGGGGGGGGGATGAAGAGCATAAAACACCCTGGACAGCAAAACCCAGCAGTGCCGCTCACTCACAGACACAAGTGCAGTTTCAGCCAGTCGTTCATTCAGTGGACGCTCTCACGTCCTTCGGAACTTGGGAGTGACTTTCATGGGATCACTACCTGGATTTGAACTCAGGATACGGTTTGTAGGTGAGTGGTCCCAGCTAACATTCTAAAACCGAGTTTTCTCGTCTGTACCCTGGGGAGTTGCGGGTGTCCGTCTCCTTAGGTATTAAGATGAAGGGAGCCCGGTAGAACAAGTCTTGAGAGCTCTCTGGGGATCATCTTTAACAAAAGTTATTCATTGCACAGACAGAGTTTCAGTTTTTGGTTTTGCTTTCTGGATATATAGAATCTTATTTGCAGCAGGATTTTGGGGTTCTTAAGGCGAGACCTTGATAAACACATGAAAAACGAACCCATCCTGGAGTGTATAACGCGCAGGATAGAGTTAAACTGTGCAATAGAGGTGTTGGATGCCATCTTGGAAGGAAGAGAACCAAGCGGCAGAGAGCGGTTTTCATTTTTCTTTTCTTTTTTTTAAAGATTTATTTATTTATTACATATACAGTATTCTGCCTACATATATCCTATAGGCCAATAGCAGGCACTAGGTCTCATAACAGATGGTTGTGAGCCACCATGGGGTTGCTGGGACTTGAACTCAGGACCTCTGGAAGAACAGCCAGTGCTCTTAACCTCTGAGCCACCTCTCCAGCCCTTCATTTTTATTTTCTTACCAATGCCTCTGCTTTGATAACTTGGTTTGTTTTCTTTCTCTCATCTTTGTTCATTCCATCCACTATTGCATCGTGGATGTTGCTCTTCACGCAGTAGACCATATTGTAGGAGAATTACTCATCTGCTCTATTCAATAGCGCTTACTAAGCCCTGTGTGCAGGCAAGCCACTTTTCAGGGAAGGTAATGAGTGATGAGAAGACAAAACCCAGCCAGATACAGCAGTGCACACCTGTGATCCCTGCAGTAGGACGACTGAGGCAAGAGGATGGAAACTTGGAGGACAGCCTGGGCTCTATAGTCAGTTCCAGGGTAGCCTGGGCTGCAGACTAAAATTCTGTCTCAAATCTAGAAACCAAAACAATACTAAAAGCAAAGAAAAATCAAAGATGAAAGCAGAATCATGTCGTTTGTGTGCACTAAGCTGCTGTCAGCCTCTATCTCTTTGGTCCCTACACTAAGCTTCTGTGAGGATGAGGGCCCTGGGAAGCCAAGCAAACAGTCCAGAAGAATGTCATGGTATGTGGTTAGAACTTTTCTGCAAGAGAAGAGCTGTAGCTGAGATCTCTTAAACACTTTTTTTTTTTTTGAGGGACTGAAATTCATCCAGCTTCTTGTGCTGTGCTAAGCAGAAGGAGCGCAAAGATGACTGTGTATGAATACCAGTCTGTGAAAAGCTGAACAGTCCCGCCAAAGCCAAGCCTGCTTTTGTGCAGGCTGCAGCCTGCGTGGAAGTTTCCAGAACGGAGTTTGCAAGTGGCAGGAGCCTCAGGCATTTTAGGTTTTTCTCCCCTCAGACTCCTAGGCTCTCCGCCACACTGCACAACTCAGGCCTGCCCAGTTGATCTGCCCCTATCCCCTCATCTGCAAACAGCTGGCTTGAGAGAACCTGCCCACTGTCTCTTCCTTGGGAGTGTCGCAGAGATTAACGATCAGGATCTCACAGACCTTGGAGGAGGCCGTGGGGTTGTTTCTTTCAGTGCACCTCTTGGCAGGGTTTCCCATACAGACCTGTCAGCTTCCCTGAAACAAACCAGAGAAGGGAGAGTTATACAATTCACCGTATCCTAGGGGCCTGGGCTGTGAGGGAGCTCGAGAGTACACTGTGTGCTGTAGGTCAGGGCCCAGGAGGAACAGGTATCTTAGCAGCAAGGCTGAGAGCTTCCTGGGAGCCAGTGAGGTTGCTGGCTGCAGAAGAGAGGCCAGCACTCTGCATTAGCAAAGGAAGAAGAAAAGCCAAGCAGAGCACACACTTTCAAAGGACGCCTCACTAGTCAGTTTTCAAGAATCCCAACATCTTATGGGGACAAAACTAACATAGACTTAGAAACCGGAAGTTGCTAATAAAGATACTTTTCTACAAAGGATAGATCACCACTACTGGATAGGTGTGTGTGCATATTCTATGCACTCTAGAGCAGCTCAGGCAAGGAAAAACCCGGGACTGAAAATGAAGCTGGATGGGTGTCAGCTGGAAGACCCTAACAGCCCAGGACCCTGCACTACGTTAGAGCACAGGTCAGCTCTTGAACCCTCAGAAGTTGTCAGGATGTTTACGTGATCGGTTATAAGAGTCAAGGAAAGGAAAAGCTTATACATTTGCTTTTTCAAGAAAATGTCAAGGCTGGAGAGATGACTCATGGGACAAAGGCACTTGCTATTTAGTCCTAGAGACCTGGGTCTCTTCCCCAGAACCCACGATAAGGTGGAAGGAGGAAACCTCCTCCACAAAGTTGCCTACTGAGGTCCACCCACACAGAGACAGAATAATAATTTTAATTAAAAATAGTGGAACACACACACACACACACACACTGGTCTTCCTAAAAGGTAACCAGAATGGCATAACTCTAAGGTGAAGGCTCTTCTACAGAAACAAGACAGAATAAAAATAAGGTAAGTAAAGTTCACTGTGTACTGTAATCAGTTGGCATAGGACGAGGTGTCCCTCGCCACCAAAAAAAGCAAACTGCCCTAAGAGCTATCTCTCAGTTTTGGTTTTGATTGATGTGCAGCCAGGTCTGTTTAGAGAATTGGGGTTACTCCCTAAAAGCGTAAAAGTGTTCTTGTCTACAGGCCATTGTGAGGAATTGCTTGAGGCAAGAACAGCTAGAACACATTTAACATTGAAGCCCTGGTCCAGGGCGTGTTCATCGTCTCTGTCTAAGTCAGCCTTGGTTTTAACTTGCACAGGTTCTGAAGGTTGTGCTGAAACTCTAGCACTGGAACCTTCTCCACAACTAGGAAGAAATGCCAGCGTCCCCTGTCCATGATGGAGCCTATTGCTGGTCAATTTTAAAGTAATGTTAAATAGATGAATAAAGCCACTGGGAAAAAAAATAATTAAATTGAAAAAGTATAGCTCACTAAGAACAATTTTTTAAAAATTAATTTGTAGACACTTAAAAGAGAGAAACCAGTTATACTTTAGTCTTCAGAATATAAAGAACAGAATTCTTGTGGTTCAGGTGTTAGGTTTGTTCTTGAATGTATCTGTGCACACACGCATGTTCACATGCTTACGCATATGCTCCGTACAGTCTCATGTCTAGGAGCCCAAAGCTTCTCCCACAGGACCACCTTCTTGCAGAGAGAGGAATCAGCAGTCTCTTTAGCTATCAGATCTCCCAGATCAGACCTAGGAGTTTGGATTGGAGAAATTTGTTCTTACTACTCCAGTCTGCAACTCTTTTCTCCACTAATGGTGGCTGCAGGATATGTAGCTAGGGTGAAGGTGACTCTTTATCTTCCTGCCTCCCTCCCGTAAGCATAAACAAGGAGGAAGAAGGAGCCAGCAGCAGAGACAAGCTGTAAAGTCGCTGTTTTTTAGAAAGTAGCATTAACGTCACGCCAGGCTCTGACATGCCAATCCCAACACCTCTGCTTCGTTTTTACAGATCTGACCCCCTTTACATTCTTCTACTCATGAGAGAAATATTTAACACGTCTTGAGCCCTATGAGATTCTCAACGTATCAAGTCAATTTGACAGCTAAGAAGACCGCTGACCCCCATTAAGTAGAGTGCTTGCCTAGAATGCATGAATTCCCAGGTTTGATCCCTCACAGTGTAAAAACTAACCACAGCTGCACACACCTGAAATCTAGAAGGTGGAGGCTGAAGGATCACGCACTCAAGGTCACGCTTGGCTCTAAGACAAGGTCAAGGTCAACCTGGGCTATGCAAGAACCCCTTTCAAACCAAACACCCTTTTCAAACCAAACAACGCAAAACATTTGATGTGAGCTAATATATCCAGCCCCATGCTTCTGAGGACTGAACCCAGGACCTTGTTCCTGTCAGGAGAGTCCACTATCACTGAGCTACATTACTAGCTAGCCAACCAAGACATCGTTTATAGTAGAATAAATACAACACAGGGGCTGGAGAGATGGCTCAGCAGGTAAGAGTGCTTGTGGCCCAATTGTGAGGACCAGAGTTTGAAATCCAAGCACCTACCTCACATGGCTCACAAGCACCTGTAACTCCAGTTCCGAATGATCTGATACCCTCTTCTGGCCTCCACAGATATGCACACACATAGGTGAACCTAAATGCACACAAATAAAGTTAAATTTATGTATTATATAACTATAAAAGTCATACAGCACATTATGCATATTTACTACAAAATAGAAGTATTGTTTCCTTCTGGATATGGAGTTGACCTTATTTTCCTTCATTTAAAAAAATGACTTAGACAAATGGCATTGTGGATGGATGGATGGATGGATGGATGGATGGATGGATGGATGGATAAATGGATGGATAAATGGATGGATAAATGGATGGATAAATGGATGGATGGATGGATAAATGGGTGGATGGATGGATGGATGGATGGATAAATGGATGGATGGAAAGACCCTTGACCTACAACTCAATATGCGTCCTACTCTCTGTGTGACCCTGATCGTCTCTCTTAAGTCTCCTGAAACTCAGTTTACCCATAAATACAAATAGCACTGCCCAACTCACAGCACCGTTGAGAAGACTAAATGAGGGTACATATTCAGCCTGGGTGCCAGAGATCATAACTGGAACCCACTATATCTGCCTTACCTAATTTGCTTCCCATAAGAAATTGGCCTTGTCAGGTATATGGCTATGAATCGAGACACCCTGTCACGGGACCGCCTAATCTAAGTAGCGGAATTGACACTGATGTCATTAATACTGTGCTTTATCAGATCATACAGAAAGACTACGGCCCTGAGTAAGTCGAGCACAGCAATAATTACTAGAAACTACAATGCAATCCTTCCCCTTTGAGAATAGCTGTGCTTCTGAGCTCTGTCTGCCTGAGTTCTGTATATTTCAAATCGAATCATGATTCTGGGAATGACTGGCTTAACCCATGCGTGACCACTTCCATCCCCAATGTCTCCAGCATCAGGCATTGAACCTAGAACATCATACAAAGCTGGGCAAGAGTTCAAGCCCTGAGCTACAGCCCCAGCCTAAGGAAACTCTTCAAATCTACCCACTAACAATTTTTGCATTGTTTTCTGTTGAGCTTTTGGGGGGCGGGTGATGGAGGATTAAAGCCACTGGCCTCATGCATGTTGTCCATCTGCTCCACCTCTGAGCTTCATCCAGCTGTTGAGTCTTCTGACTGGAAGACACCTAGAGAGTTTGCAGTAGGGTAAAGGGCCTTGCCTAAGGAGTTTACTCTCTTCCAGAAGAGCGCTTGTGCTTAAAGGAAATACAGAAGCTAGGACTGTTAGCTCAAGTTTGGAATCCCAGCTACTGCGAAGGCTGAGTCAGGAGGGTTGCAAATTAATGAGCAGCTTGGGCTACTGATTGAGTTCAAGGCCAACCTAGGAACTTAGTGTTTCACTATGAAAAGTTAAAAAAACAAAAAGGGAACTGTGGATAAAGCCCACAGGTCTAGCATTTGCCTAACATACATAAGGCTCTAGGTTCTATCCCCAAACTGCCAAACAAATCAAAATAATTTGTTAAAACATAGTTCATACTCTGTAGAAAAATCTTAGCATTCCTATTGAAGATTGTCTAGCGGAGGATCAAGCTCATTTCTTAACAAAATGGAGGCCTATTCACGATGTTGCCAAGAATGCTGCATTCCTGCAAGCTGCTAATAGGGAATGATATTTTTAGAAGAATTTGGCACCAAGAACAGTAACAACAAATAGTTCTGGGGGACTTGGTACTGTGTGTTTTGTAAGTATTGCCTCATTTAATCCTTGCTGCAATCTTACATCTGTGGCTATATTATTCCCTGCAACTTAGAAGTGGAGAAAGAGAAGCAGTGGTTTTAATTAAATGCCTGAGGCATAGAATTGGAAAGATGATGTGGGCCATACACACCATGATCTCAACCGTACTCTAAACTACTTCCTGGAGAAGTGAGCCTAGGGGTAGTTTGCTCATACCCCCTGTTTGCCCGGGGGAAATGTCCAATAATGTAGCTATGACACTGAGAGTCTGATCCTCCTCCTGTGGCTTTGTGTCATCTACGTGGCCTGGTTAATTTCTTACCTAGCTAGCCTCTCTTTAATAAATGTCCTAGCTAGCCTCTCTTTAATGAAAAGCTGAGCTGCATCCAGCAGAGAGGGAGCTTGATCGACTGGGGGATACGGGGATACTGGCTGCTGAAGAATGGAGATCAGGTTTCAATGCACTTGAACTACAGGTGCTTTGGCAAAAGGATACTATCAGACCTATCCTTGACCTTGAAAAGGGGGAGGGGGGCTTTGTCAGGCCCAGAATTCTCTCTGCTCTGAATGAAGCACAGAGATTATAATAGCAGCCAGGACAGACTTTTTGCAGAAAGAAACACCCAAACAAAATGTCCTGAACATTTCAGAGTCTGGCGTACTCCTGTGACATCTCTTCAACTTAGAAACTGATACTTGGAGATTCACCAAGGGTGAGCAATCAAAATCAAAACTGGCTATAGACGGTTGCTTTGAATCAATCTCCTTCTCTCGCTCTCTCTCTCACACACGTGCACACACAGACGCATGTGTGTGCGCACATCTTTCTCTTCTATCTTCTCTCCTCTCTCTATTCCCCAAGCCCAGCCTCAAGAACGCACATCCCCAACTCTCTCTGCATTGGCTGGTTTGAGCTCCTCATGATTGGTCCCGCCAGTCCCCATCCTTACCAACAGTGCAGAATTCCAAAGGAATGCAAGATAAAACAGTCAGATCCGCTCATTGGTGCGCATCTGTCTTTGCTTGCACAATCAGGGAAGTGTTTACCTTCTTTCTGTTTCAGCGATGTTTAGACCTGAGCGTGTCTCTACGAGATGTTTATTCTGTTTCAAACCTCTGGTGAACGTCACGATCATTAATCAGAAAGGGAGCCCTTTGGAAGCTCCTTTCAGTTCCAACATCTATCTGCGGTATAATTATAACGAGCCTGAAAGTTGTGTGTCGGCAGTTTGATGTGGATTTGGCTCTAGCATCTTCACGTACTGATAGAAAACTAATGGGCCCCGACCCTGTGTGTCAGTAACCCATCACTGAACCCTCCAAGTGACGCGTTCTCAAATAAATCCCGTCTCACGCCGGCGTCATCTTTTGGACAATGGTTCCTCGTATTCAGTGGGGTCTTTTTCTCTTTTGATTGCTTCTTTCTCTGCCCATCATTGATCATCTTAGCTGTTATCCCTCATGTAGTCAGGTATTCTTGAATCTTCTAGGTCCAAGTTTTACTGGGTTGGGGTTTTTTTTCTGATCTTTTTTTTTGTGCTATTTTTCCCTAAAGTACCCATCCAACCCCATCCCTGCCCCCATGTGTGTGTGTGTATGTGCCACTATGAATTTCTTTCTCCAAATCACCAGTTATCGACTAGGAGAGAATCTTATTAGCGGTAGGTGTTTGGTGATCTCTGGAGGCATTTGTTGCTGTCCTATAGGTCTGGGGAAGATGTCTTTACCTCAGGCTTCTTGTAGGTAGAAATAGGTTGTTCACAATCTCCAGCCATGCTCAGAGCTGCCCCTTACACACACACACACACACACACACACACACACACACACACACACACACACTGAGGAAGTTGGTTCACGATGGAAGTGGGGATGAGCTTAGGAAATCCCTTAATTGCCCGCTCATCTGCCTCTGTACCCTTATTACCTTGCTGAGTCCCAACTGCTTAAGGCTTTTCCTTGCAAACCTGCCTTTTATCTCTGCTCCCATTTATCTGCCTTCTTTGCTTCATGTCCATCTTCTGGACCCTGTCTCCCTCAGGACCCCCCCCCCCAATCTTGGTCTGATCGCCCCCATGAGGTCTCTCCTTGTCTTTCCTCCTTTGTTTTGGAGGCTTAGTTCAGCAACCACCTTATCTCTCCGCTGTCCTGGAGTGACCTCAGGATCACTGAAAATATTTTTCTTAGAACTCTGTTTATTTTCCAAGCTTTCACAAATCCAAAACAGCCCACAAGTTCCATGCTTCTGGTTTCAAAGTCTGAAGCAGATACCACAGGCCTGACCTGTGCAACTGCACTGGCCCTCAGCTCTGATCCCCACTCCACTCCACCGCCTTGATCCTTCCTTCGTGTCTCTTTTGCTCACCTGATGCTGGCAGCACAGGCTGCTCTGTCCTTTCTTCGTGATACTGATGTGCACGTGTGGCTTGCATTGATTGGTATGATAGCACCGGCTCTTCTCCCACTTAAGACAGGGAAGCGGCACTTTCCCCTGCCTTCATTTACTCTTTAGAGAAGGGGATGAAGGTGGAGCAGATGCTAAGCACAACTGAGAGTTGTAGCAACAAAAATGAACGAGACAGAAACTGACAGCTAGTCTGCGTTGTCAGCTTGACTGGATCTGGAATCGCCTGGGAGAAATATTTTTAGGGTTTTCCCAATGATGCTTAACAAAGAAGAGGAGAATCACACTGCAGGTGTGTGGCAGTAAAAGAGGGGACGGGAGGAATCAGCTGAGCATCAGCGTTCACCCATCCCTGCTTCCCGAACATAGATACGATATGGCTGCCACTCCATGTGCTCTGGGTGCCGAGCCTTCCCTGCCATGATGCATGGTACCTCAAACAAACAAAAAGACAAAATAAACCTTTTTTTTCCTGGAGTTGCTTTCATCAGTTATGTTTTTCACAACCACCAGAAAAGCAAACTAATATAGAAACTGATCCCAAAAAGATGCAGTTGAGTAGAGAGAAAAATCAAGGAAAGTAACCCAGCCCAAATCTTGCTGTCTATAAGCGGTAAGGGATATGGGAGCTAGGGAGAGGAAGTCTCCTGTCTCCTATTCATGGTGCAGGAAAATGCCATGCTTGCTACCACAGAAGAAAAGTAATCACCAATCTTACCCAGCTGTGAACCCCAAGAGCTACAGTGCCTGGTCCACCAAGACATGCTCAGTAGTGCAACTATCATGGGAGTAGCCAACTACTTTCTGATTAGACATCAGGCCCACTCCACAAAATTAAACCCATAGCTGGCACCATTATGGTGGTAAAAACATGTTGTAGAGGAGCTGGAGAGATGGCTCAGTGGTTAAGAGCATTGCCTGCTCTTCCAAAGGTCCTGAGTTCAATTCCCAGCAACCACATGGTGGCTCACAACCATCTGTAAAGAGGTCTGGCGCCCTCTTCTGGCCTCCAGGCATACACACAGACAGAATATTGTACACATAATAAATAAATAAATATTAAGAAAAAAAAACATGTTGTAGACAGGTCAAAGAGCCTAGCGGGGAATAATAACTAGAAAC